TGACATAAGGTAATTCACTACATTTTCCAGGCATGTCTCCCTAAATTCTTCTACACAAAGACTTGTTGAATATTTTCATACCCCATTTTGATCTTTTACTCTATTTCGAAGATAAGATTGGCGAAGAAACTTTGAAACTTGTCTTCTTCTAAGGTGAACGGTATGATTTAACCTAAAAATAAATCAACGAAATTTATACCAAACCGATTTAAAATAAAATAATTATTTACCTTAGAGAAAAATCACAATCGAATTTTTGTCTTAATAAAGACAGATAATATTAAATAAAACCGCAATAAATTCATAATGAAATATTGAAAACACCAAACGCCAAAACCAAGAACACGACTCTGAGCTCAGCTGATCGAAACCATTGAAACTAAAAATCGATATCACCTCGTCGACCAATAAGAACGTTGAAAATTAAAAACAAGTAGAGATGGGAGGAGGCTGTGACGAGGGCAGTAAATATTGGTATCAAGCGCTTGGGAAAGTAGTTTTTAGCGGACCGGCTTTTTTGATCTCTCGGTAGATTGTCATTTGCTGTATCACAGTATCTTATACAGAGTGGTCAAAAATTGAATTACCTTTTTTCCGCATTCAATGGCAAGAAAGTCGAAAATTTTAAATGGTACGCTCCATATTTTATTGGCTCACCAGAATTGTAGTTCTTCGTCTAGCGCTGCATAACAATTAAAACTAAAACTACCACTAGACTTAGAACTGGAAAGTTTCGGTTTTAGCCGTTTTAAGAGACCCATGGTTAAACTCGACCAAGATTGTTCTTTTATATTATGAACCTTATTAAGTCTAAAACTAACAACATTACAAATTATGAATAGAATAAATTTGGCATTTTCTAATTCAAAGTGTGTAATATTAGTTGCCTACCTATTCGTGACGTCACGAACGGACCATTGAGCCGTGCACATGTTCTTGGGATGTAACAGTCCTCTTAGATTCTACTGCATTTGTAATAATTTCTAACTTTATATTTAAATTTACCGATTTCTTGCGATACCTACCGATTTTTTACCATTGATTCAATCGATATTGGACCGACATAGGTTGGCAAGGCTGGGTATTGATGATAGACAAAGTCTTAAATTAAGAAGATCAGAAGAATAATTTAGGTACATTTTTTTAATTCGTCTTTACATATTCACTTATATTAAGTTAATATTATGGTAGTTGATTATAATTAAACGTAAAACTTGAAAAATAATATCTTTAAATGTGATTAAATTATTAGTTCTTATGTTTATTAAGTAACTTAAATTAAGTTTAATTTAATTAGTTGAAACTTATTTTTACTAGTTTTTACAAAATTAAGACTATTAACACCAAATTTAAAAATATTATCTCGAACCTTACATTACATCATAGTCACCATCACAGCTTTTCACTTACACATATTAGCAAAAACAATTAAGTACTTGTAAAGTATTACTTATGGGGGAATTCCGACCAAAAGGGCCTAATAAATTAATTCTTTTTTTGCAATTATTCTTACGACGCAGTATTTTCTTGCTCGCATTTACTTGAAAATTAAAAATTCGTATTGCAGTAATACCCTGTAGTTAAGATATTGTGTTATAGTAGTACTGTTGGTTTTTGTCCTAGTCCCAAGAGTTGCCCAACGACGAGGTCGCGTAAGTCGAGGTTTTACTTTACCTCAAAAAACGGGCTACAACGTACAAAATAAAAATATCATCGTAGATCACTTCTTTTTTATCCTCTTGGACCGGAATCTGTGGGCCACAAAGCCTGAGTGAATTATTATCCTGCTTGTAGGATTTCAGCTTACAAAGTTGAGATTACATCCATTTTATGATAAATCATAAAATAGTTTCATCCTTTAGCAACTTTCAAGAAAACCTCCTCCAAGCTTGATTCTTTCACCATGTAATCAACAATTTCATTTCGATGTGTTTTCATGCTTTCCATTCCTGATATGATTGAACCCCAGTTAGAATTCTTAATTGAAACGGTTAATAAATTCTAAAAAAAAATAAATACCGATAGGAAATACATTTTAAATAAATCCATAGACTTTACATTTCTAGCTGCAATTTTTTCTATAATAACATTATTAAACGATTCACGTAAAGCCTCTAATATTGTATCGATTTGTTGAGGTGATTTTACTTTCATCTGGATTATATGACCGATGTTGTATTTTTCTTTTAACTCAGGCACTGAAAGATTTGCATCAGTTTCAAGTTTTCCCGCTTTCATTATTGATAGTCTAAAATTAATAAAATAAATGTTATGTCTATTATAGACATAGAACTAAAACTAACACTATCACTAGTGTTAGTTCTAGATTTAGTTGAAAGAATTATTACTTATCACAGAGTAATTCGCATTCATCCATACTATGAGATGTAAAAATTATTGCCGACTTTTTATTAAGTTTAGTTTCATTTATGAGTTCTTTTATTTTTCTTCTATTTTGGGGGTCAACTCCCGTTGTCGGCTCATCTAGAGTAATAATATCTGGATGTCCTATCAGCGCTATACAAGTATTTAATTTTCTTTTGTTGCCTCCACTGTAAGTACCGCAGGGTTTATTACTGTATTCATTTAAACCGCATTTATTAAGCAAGTCATCTATTTCATCTTCTTGTATGGATGGATTCCTTAGTTTTCCAAAGTATTTTAGTAATTCTCTTCCAGTGAAAAAGTTTAATAAAGCGTGTTCTTGAGGACAATATCCAATTAATGACTAAAAAAGATTTGATGGGGTTAGATATTGTTGGGTGGTTGTTAGACAACCTGTAATACGGGAGCTGTAGAATAAAGACAGTTAACCTCGAGACTCGGAGCGTACAACATGGTGTCAGAAGTGGGGTTATACTGAAAAGTAGAAAAGCGAGGGAACGCGATGAAATTCAATAATAAACAATGGCAAACGTTGAAGACCTAGCTCAACAAATTCAGGACCTGCAAAATTTGGTTATAAACCTACAAAAGCAAACTAGAAAAGAGCCGACGATGGTAGCAACGCAAATACCAGCACCGGAGAAATTTTCGTTCGTAAAAGAAGAGTGGCAGTCATGGATTACTCATTACGAAAGGTACAGGTTAGCAACTAAGTTGGACGTGACAGATGAAAGAACCCAAATTAATTCACTGTGTTTGCACATCGGACCGGAAATAACGAAATTTCTGGAAACACAATTTAAAAAAGAAGAAAGTTTTAATACCTACGCAAAAATAAAAGAGTTTTTAAATGAAAAATTTATAAAGACGCATAACGTGATTTATGCGAGGGCAAAATTTAATTTGCGTAAACAAAAAGAAGGAGAAACGGCCGAGGAATACGTTAGGGCAATAACTACTCTAGCAAAAAATTGTAAATACGGGTCTTTAGAAGACGAATTAATAAGAGACAAACTAGTTGTCGGAATAAGAGACCAGAAATTGTCTGAAAATTTACAATTGGATGAACACTTGACCTTGGAGAAGACAATAATAAAAATAATGCAAACGGAAAGAATAAAATCCGAAAATACTGAATTACGCGAAGAGCGATATCAGGTGGACCGACTACAAAAACCAGTTCAGGGATCGATCGATAGAACGTCGGAGCGACGTAGATATAAACAAAACGAAGAAAAAAATGTTTTCGATGCGGCGATAAAAATGGCCATAAAAGAGAATGTTGTCCGGCAAATAAACAAACATGCTACAAATGTAAAATAACGGAACACTTTGCGGCGCAGTGTAAAACAAAGAAAGGAAGACAAATAAAAGAAGTAAAAGCGGAGTGTTCAAAAAGAAGTACAGACGACGAAGAAAGTTCGGGAAGTGAATATGAAGTAAAACGAGAATTTAGACGTGTTATTCGCGTGAATAGAATCGAAAGAGATCAACCCTGGGAAGTAGAATTAAGAATAAATTATAAACCAATTGTTTTCAAGATAGATACAGGAGCAGACGAAACGATTTTGAGCCATAAAACCTATAAAAATAAATTAGGACCAACATATGAGCTAAAACCGACAAACGCAACGTTAGTGGGGCCTGGAAGTTCAAAAGACGGATGTCAGCTGAAAGTTTTCGGTAAGGTTATGTTACCTGTTCAGTGGAAAGATAAAACTAAATTAATTAAATGTTTCGTGGCCGATACGAATGAGAATTTATTGGGTAGACCTTCTCTAAATAAATTAAAAATCGTTAAATGGCACAAGGATGAGTTGATGATTGGTAACATTGTTAAGTTAAATAAACAGGGTTACGATCAGAAAATAAAAAGCAAATATCTAGAAGTATTTACGGGTATCGGAAAACTGAAAAACTTTAAATATAAAATTCAATTGAAAGATAATGCTACAACATTTGCGGTAACAGTACCGAGACGAATACCGATTCCACTTCGCAAAGAAGTAGAAAAACAGCTAAATAAAATGGTAAAAGATGATGTCATACAAAGGGTAGAGGAACCAACCGAATGGTGTGCACCGATGGTGGTAGTGCAAAATAAAAATGGAAAATTGAGAATTTGTTCAGATTTTACCGAGCTTAACAAATACGTGAAAAGGGAAGTATTTCAACTACCTTCAGTGGATGAAACCTTGGCTAAACTTCAAGATGCAACTATTTTTACAAAATTAGATTTTTCTAGAGGGTTTTGGCAGCTGGAATTAGATGAAGAATCTCAAAGGAAGTTAGGATCTAAATTTCAAATCGTAACGGATCATAAACCGTTAACCGCGATACTTAAAACTAAAGAGTTAAATAAACTATCGAATAGACTTCAAAGATTCAGAATGCGAGAGCAAAATGTTTAATTAAATGCTTAGCGAGAGCAAAAGAAACTATTTGGTGGCCAGGAATAAGACAACAAATATTGGACAAAATAGAAACCTGCGAAATTTGCTTGAAGAACAAGATACCTCCAACGGAACCAATGATTCCGAACAAAGTGCCACATAGACCATGGGAAAGATTGGGGACGGATATAGCTACTTACAAAAATACGAACTACTTAATAGTACAGGACTATTATTCTAAATACCCTGAAATCCGAAAACTAGATAATTTACGTAGCGAAACTGTCATAGAACAGCTAAAGGATATAATGTCTCACCATGGAATTCCAATAGAATTAAGATCAAACAACGGAAAACAATTTGTCAGTTACGAATTTAAACAATTCGCCAAAGATTATGGTTTCAAAAGTATAACCAGAAATCCAGAATATCAGCAGGCAAATGGACAGGCAGAAAGCGCTGTAAAGATTTTGAAAAAGATTTTTCGCAAGAATAAAGACACGCATCTTGCGCTGTTAATTTACAGAAATACTCCTTTAAAATGTGGGTTCTCTCCGGCTCAATTGCTTTTTGGCAGGAGGTTAAGAGAGAAAGTACCAACGCTTAAATCAAAATTGGATCCCAAAGTACCAAATCATAATAAACTGAGGAAGGAATTTGAAGCCGAGAGGGAAAAACAGAAAGAACAATATGATCGAAGACACAGAGTAAGAACAAACACACATTTGGAAATCGGTGAAAGAGTGTGGATAGTGAACATGCAAAGAGAGGGAATAGTGAAGGAGGCGACAACAGAACCAAGATCATACATAGTAGAGACGGAAAAGGAGGATATTCGGAGAAACAGAAAACATTTACAGCCACTACCAACACAGGACAGAGACAAGGATCATGCAAATGTGGAGGAGACCAAAACAGAAAATGACAAACATATAACAAACGAAGATACAATAGTCGCGGAGAAAACTAACAATGAAACAGAAGTACCAAGACGAAGTGAACGTACAATAAAAGTGCCTCAAAGATTAAGAGACTATATTAGATTTTAAGTTTAAATGTTATACTTAGAAAGGGGGATGTTGGGTGGTTGTTAGACAACCTGTAATACGGGAGCTGTAGAATAAAGACAGTTAACCTCGAGACTCGGAGCGTACAACAGATATAAATTGTAGTTTGAAGATAACGACATACATTTTGACGTCGAAAGATTTCTCCTTTATCCGGTCGTACTTGGTTTGTTAGGATTTTGAATGAGGTGGATTTTCCGGCGCCATTTACACCTAAAAGACCGTAACATTCTCCTTTGGACACCTAAAAAAATTGAGGATAATTAAATATTTTTTGTAATACTAACAATAAGAGTTTAATTACCGTAAATGATAAATCGTCAACCGCTTTTACAGTTGTTTTCTTAAATGATCTTAATGTTCTGATATTGTAATGTTTTTGAACTTCTTTAGCACCTATTGTAACACCTTCTTCATGGTTTTTTTTATATGATTTTTCTTTGTCCAACCAAACGATTATAAACATTACGATCAAAGCAGATACTACGCTTATCATAAGATAAATTGGATATTGGATATACGCTCTATCTTCTGCACATTCAACACTATCTGGGTCTAAAAGATATCGAAATAATGTAATATTTGCTAAAACATCTTTAGATCTAAATTTACCACAACACGGTAAAGGTGTTTCGTTGCAGATGTATTCTTTTTGCGACGGTGTTTTCATGTCCCAATTATGATTTTTGATCATTTTATCGCAGAAGATGGATAAGGTATATGTTAAAATAATATGGGGATCTAATAAAGCAAAAAGGTAAAGGAAAATTTGTGGTGCAACAGAACCTGATGACTGTAACGATAAAATAACTCCCACTGGAATTGAACTCAACATATTTGGTATTAGTAATAAAGCGATCGCATTAGAAACAGATTTTGAGTAAAACGATGATAAATATGTATGCGGAATCATAGTTATTCCATACCAAATAAGAATAATTACTAAATAGCCTACAAAATAAGATATGCGTTAGTTAATTGAATACTTTTACGAAGTAATGATACTCACAGTAACCGTCTATTTGAAGTAGCGCCCAATCTAATTTAGATACAACATATAGAACTGCAATTGGAGGTATAATCATAACCAAATAAATTATAACATCTGTTATGTAATTATGCAACCAATAACATATTGAATTTAAGTTATATATTCGGGATAAAGTTTTTATGAATGAATTCTTCTCTAATGTTGGCAATGCGGAGAACATTATCACAGAAAATAAGCAAGCATTTGATAGTAATATCATCCAAGATATGATGTAATCCGCAACGTATACGTTAGTTTGTCGTGTTGTTGATTTTACCGATCTTAAAGGTGTGTGAGAGGCGATAATTTCATGATTTTCCCCCACCAAATATTTTGCAAGAACGTTACTAAGTAAATTAAAGGAAATTGGAGCCCCATGAATTGGTTGACTGCCATAAAAGACGGTGATTTCTCGCGAAGATTCGTCAAAATTCATTTTGGCTCCCACTATTAATTTTTGTCGATACTTTACGATGTTATTTTCCCCAACGCTGATAACAGCTATAAAAAATAATAGTAGTAGTGTTATATTTATTAATAATTAATCCTTTATTTGTTTACCTTCCGAAATATCGTCTACTTTATGTGAATTTGAAATGGTCGAGTCTATTAGATCAACAAATATTCGTTCTAGGTTGGCGTCATCATTTTTCATTTCATAAAAGACTTTTGTACATCCATAAGAATCTAGGTTTAATTGGAGGGTTTTGCCATCTCTATCCGTGTGTTTATGGCCACTGTCGTTCATAGCAAATGATAGGGCAAAAAGAGAATAAAAAAGTGCAATCTAAAAAATTAAATTAACCTAAAGAATTATTTAAAATGTGAATTATTTACCATAGTTATCCACGGTATAGGCATAGCTCGTAATATTTTCATTTTTTTTTCGGCAATAAGTACGAATTTATGCCATAAATTATTGGGAAAGCAAGTTAAGTTTTTGTGAGTACCCTGGCTGTTTATTGATTCTTGTCTGTTTATTGTTAATCTTATTTCTCTATCATGGTTTTCCAAGGACCTTTTAATAAATTAAGCATTAAGTACATTTTTAATCAAGTTTTTATCTATAATATACCTTAAAAACACATCTTCTAATGTAACGGAGCGGATTTTATAATCCTTTATGGACAACTCCCCTTTCCTAGAGTTTAACACCTCTTTGAATTTTGGTATCATGCATTTCTTTTCTGGTGTAATACAGAATTCTAAGACAAGTTTATTGTTGTCCGGATTAATTTTTGCATCGATATTTTCCTCTACGAATGTTTTTATAACTTTTTCCTTCGTTGGATCTTCATAAAAAAGTTGTATTCGATAACCAACTCCTAATTTTTGCTTCAAATCCATTGGTTTGCCATATCTTTCCAACGTACCGTTTCCGAGAATTGCCACGCGATCAGCTAGTTCTTCCGCTTCTTCCATTAAATGTGTGCTAAGTATGATATTACTGTCTTTCTTGCATTCTAAAATCAGGTCCCAAATCTCCCTTCGACCTTCCGGATCAATTCCTGCTGTTGGTTCATCTAATATCACAACTTTTGGTGTTCCCATAATAGCTATCCCAATGGATAATTTACGTTTCATTCCACCTGATAGATTTTTGACTAAATCATCTTTTTTATTTGCAAGATTTAATTTATTTTCTAAAAGATTTTTCACGTTTTGCTTTATGTCTTCGTCAGATAATCCTTTTAACTAAAAAAATATTTAATAAATTAAAAAAATCTTGATGTGGTTAGATTTAGTTACCTTTCCGAAAAGCACAAGATGTTCCTCAACGGTTAACTCTGTGAATAGCATATTTTCTTGTGGACAAATCGAAACCAGTTGTCGATCCTTTAAGTTAACATTTTCTATTTCTGCGATGGTTAATTCTCCACTTGTTTCCTTCTCGAGTCCCGCCAATATCGATAGTGTTGTTGTTTTACCCGCTCCATTATGGCCGAGAATAACCGTTAAGTTGTCCTTATAAATTTTCATGTTTAATTTATTAACTGCTACTAAATCGTTATATTTTTTCGTTAGATTTTTAATCTCGAGCAGAACTTCATCATTTGGATCCTCGATACCAATCAAATGTTCTTCTTCGTTGTTAACACCCGTATTATCACTCTTTTTAAATTTATCAATTTTATTTTTAACGTTTCTACAAAAATTCGCGATTTTGTATTTGCCGTGAGGATCGGTTTCACAACATATAGCAATCGTTAAATAAAGTAGAGTATCTATTATTAACATGATGAAAGTTGTTTGCATAGTCATGTCGTCGCTGCATCCTCGTGGTTGTTCAGTAAATCCGACAGGCGATGCTCTTATTTCTGCAACGGATATGACTTGAAAGCCGTTATACAATGCTATTGTTGGTATTAAAGAGGCGAAGTATTTTAGATAAAGCGGCAATGTGTCTACGTTTCCAACTGTACTGGCGTATATTATATAAATTAGGAACCATACTGTTATGCCAGTGATCATTGCTAATGTTGCTGTTAACAAAAAATAAAATTGAAGAGCATACATAAAATTAAGTATTGTTACTAACCATCCTTGAAAAATATACTGAACGCAAATATAAAACTAATAGTTGCCAGGCAGTATAAAAGTATCAGCAAAGCAAGTTGCGGCATCGAAGCGTGCTGAAGTGAAGGATATTCAGCACTGAAAAGACGTTGTGTTAATAATATCGCCACCACAATTGCAGATATTATACATGGAATGGAAGCATTAAGAAACCAACCTAACCAATAAATACTCGATTTTAACCCATTAATTTTCATAAGTTGCTGAAAGTAATTAAATATTATTGATAATAATTAATTTTGGTGTTTTATTAGTGTTATAGTTACCTTCATTCCTGATGATTTCTCTTCAACAATCATCTTTAGAATAGCTGGGAACAAAAATATAAAACTTAACATTGTTAAAAGCGGCAGAAGGTGTACAAAGATATCATTCATGCCATTATCGGTCCAATGTGCTGGATATGGAAATTCTTCAAAATTTATAGTAATGTTTAATGGGGATTTTGTAAGCATTTCGATATAAGCTGTATCTAAAGCCCATTGGAAAGATAAAAATTGATTCCCTAGATAATGCGATGATCCTAAAATAAAAATAATTAAAATATGTTTGTAATTTAAATAAATTTTAGCTTTACCATATCCGGGGTAATAACGAATATCTTTTCGAAATAATTTCTCCGTTTCCCAGTCGATACCCTCTTCATACATTTGTATGTCATATTTCAATGTTGTTGGAATTTTTTGATCGACATCATCGAAATTAACAATAACCGTTATTCCATCACCGCCCATTTCGTTGTAGTACCTCAAAACGTCTTCTTTACTATCAAATCCTTTTATGTTCTCATTGAACATGTACAGTTTTAATTGTACTTGTCTTGCTAAATCGGCGGTAAACGCTGTTTTTGGCGAATAGAAGAGTTTTGTATCGACAATGTTTATGTGGGATAATTCAGAATCTGGTGTTATGTAATTTTTAGTAACCGGAATAAATTCTTTGTTGAAAGATGGGAGTTGGCTTCTTCCGAATGCAACCAAAACAAATATTATTATCGGAATGCATAATTCTAGTAATGTTAGAACATAGTGGCGTTTTCGTATTTTACAATGTTCCCAGATTACTGTCCATAATTGTGCCATTTTTATTTCTATAGTTAGCCTAAAATCATAATGGTGAGAATTAGAACTAATAATGTACTGTTATACTACCTAATAATTAATTAATGTTTGTTTTTCTCATTTTTGATTGGTTTGTTTTGGTTTAGTTTGGGTTTGACTGTACTTAATATAAAAAGTTTGACATGGTTTTACAATCGTTGAAACGAACCATCGTATTTCTATGTAAGTAATGACTGTTCAGTAAAGATTACTTAAGTATATATTACACTTGCGATAACATATATTTCAAAATAAGAAGGATATAAAGTTTAAAGCAATGTGAAAATTTTACAGTCAAACGTTTAAAATTATGAGTAGTTATGTTTATTTATTTTATTATTGTGAATTCAATTTTTTTAACGTTTTTATAATTCTTGTCAGGTAACAAATAAAATCGAATTAAGTAAGCAGCCTATAAATAGTCGTTATCTACAATTTTGTTTGTAAAGCATTTATCTAGCAAAAAATTTAAACGTGGTGAGATAAAGATGAATCGAAATGGGTATGTTTTAAAAACAGAATAAAATACACTAAGTAAAGGATGCTAATAACATTTACTGAAAGTGTTTTAACACACAATTCTACAAATAAACTATGAATAGCATATATAGCAACACTTTAATGGGTGTTTAAGATTTAAGAGTGCCGTGTCATATCTATAATTTTTTCATTTCCAAATCATTATTTCATCTAGAGATTTACTCCAAATTCCAATGCAGACATTTATTGAGCGATCTCGAAAACTCACATCCATCTTCTTCCTCTATAAACGCAGCAAAATCTCGTTTATCATAAATACAATAAATTAAAGATGTAAAGTACCTGTAGTTACAAATTTAGAAAAACATCTTCTAGCTTCGCGCACTATTTTAATTCTATCGCGATCATTTGGAGTGTTTTCTTGAAGAAATTGGACGAATGCTGTTTCTGAAGGTGACCTGTTCTCGTCCAACTATTGAAATTTACTTTTATGCAGACATCTACTTACCATTCTATACTTACCAATTCTAAATAGCTAAAGATGCATTGGCTTACACACTAGAATATGTTTTAATTAATTAATATTTTATTAATTTAAGTTCAATACTTTATCGTTGAAATCTCTTTTCCATCTTGGAAATTGATCGCCGAAATTTCTGTTTGTCCTATCATAATCTTGATTGGAGGGATTGTTTCGATTTTGATTATTATAAAAATTTCTGTTATTATCTTGCACATTAAAGCGGTTATTTGATCTCCCATTGTTGGCGCTTGAAGATAATATTTTATACAACATTAAATATAAAATAATATATTATTTGTTTACTTTGAACTTGTCTCTGTGTTGTCACATTCATTGTTTTGTCTTAAATTTAATAAATACCCATCAACGTGTCTGTTATTATCTTTTCTATGAAAGTTGCGCATATTATTCTGATTATTTCCGTAAAAAGCGGGATATGTTGCTCCATCTGCACCTCTTCTATATCCGCGTAAATCAGTTGACGAAGATGTTTGCTCATAAGAGTAATCTTTATCATTTTCGCCTTTACACTCGTTCATATATTTTTCCAATTTTTTTCGAATGCCATCATTTTCTCGAGTATGATTATTTGTATTTGTTAAGTTTCTGACCGAATTCATAAACTTATTTTCGGTTAATGAATATTTTATGGCGATAACCATACAGATTAATGTGAGCCAGTACATTATAGAAGAATTTATTAGTAAATAGACTCGATATCATTTCGCTACAAAGCTAGGTTTTATAGAGTTGAGATAATGGGGTTAATTAATCGTAGAAATTCTCTTTGACATTTAAAATTACTTTCGGAAACAGGTTGTTATGGTGTTTCATTTTTAGATGGATTTTTACAATAGTGGGCAAATAAAAGCGTGTTTATCTAATAACAATTAAATCTAAACCACTTATCAAAAAAGATATTATATTTTTATACATCCTATTTTTATAGAAATTTACACGAGGTCATATCATGAAAGATTAAGTGTTCAAAGTCAGTGTTTTCGTTGATAATAATAAAGTGGAAACATTAATAATTATTAATCAAGTATTTCAAACATTGCGAGATCTTATCAATAGCTCTTACAAATTGTAGGAATTTTTTAAGAACAGTTCAAAAAGACTGTGATGAAGACTGAAATGAAAGGTTGGAATGACCCAAAAATTTCCAATATTATTTATAATCAGATCTACAGGGTGATTCACATCAATTGAGGCATTCCAAAGGGTTGATTAGGGGTAATGGTCCCCTAAATTTTGACAGATTTTTTTTATCTCTTGGTGGATTTAATGCATTATTACCTCATTTCATGTGGAATTTAATTCTAAAACTTTTTTTACTCTTATTATTTTTTAAAAAACATTGTCGTTTTCATAATAAACTCAAATAACTAAAGACACGTATTTCGTTAATGCTACTTAAAATCATCGAAAATTCAGTAGTCGGCTGTGAAATTCTACGTAATTTGATTAATAAACTGTTTATTATGAACTAAAAAGATATCATCCATAAACAAATTTAGTTTAGGCATAATAATTTTCTAGTGATAAAGAGAAAATCCCCAAAATCTCAAAATTAAGTACTTCTGGTTTTAAAATCGATCATAACTCAAGAATGAAAGGTGATGACGAAAAAGTTTTTAGGAATAAATTGTTTATTATGAACTAAAAAGATATTATTGATAAACAGATTTTGTTTAGATGTAATGATTTTCTAGTGATAAAGAGAAAATCCCCATAATGTCACAATTGAGTACTTTTGTTATCAAAATCGATCATTACTCAAAAAGTAATTGTGATGGAGATAAGCTTTTTTAAAAGAAATTGTTTATTATGAACTAAAAAGACATCATCCATAAACAGATTTGGTTTAGTTATAATGATTTTCTAGTGATAAAGAAAAAATCACCAAAATGTCAAAATTTAATACTTTTGGTACTGAAAGTAGATCATAACTCAAAAATTAAAGGTGATGGAGAAAAGTTTATTTGAAATAAATTGTTTATTATGAACTAAAAGGACAATACTCATAAACAGATTTGGTTTAGTTATAATGATTTTCTAATGATAAAAAGAGAAAATCATCGAAATATCAAAATTGAGTACTTTTGGTATTAAAATTGATCATAACTCAAGGATGAAAGGTGATGGAGAAAAGTTTTTTAGGAATAAATTGTTTATTATGAACTAAAAAAACATCATCCATAAACAAATTTAGTTTAGGTATAATGATTTTCTAGTGATAAAGAAAAAATCACCAAAATGTCAAAATTGAGTACTTTTGGTATTAAAATTGATCATAACTCAAGGATGAAAGGTGATGGAGAAAAGTTTTTTAGGAATAAATTGTTTATTATGAACTAAAAAAACATCATCCATAAACAAATTTAGTTTAGGTATAATGATTTTCTAGTGATAAAGAAAAAATCACCAAAATGTCAAAATTGAGTACTTTTGGTATTAAAATAGATCATAACTCAAAAATTAAAGGTGATGGAGAAAAGTTTATTTGAAATAAATTGTTTATTATGAACTAAAAGGACATTACTCATAAACAGATTTGGTTTAGTTATAATGATTTTCTAATGATAAAGAGAAAATCACCGAAATATCAAAATTGAGTACTTTTGGTATTAAAATTGATCATAACTCAAGGATGAAAGGTGATGGAGAAAAGTTTTTTAGGAATAAGTTGTTTATTGTCAACTAAGAAGACATCATCCATAAACAAATTTAGTTTAGATGTAATGATTTTCAGGTGATAAAGAGAAAATCCCCAAAATGTCAAAATTGGGTACTTTTGGTGTTAAAATCGATCATAACTTAAAAATGAAAGGTGATGGAAAAAAGATGGAGAAAACCTTGTCGTCAAATAACTTTATAACCTATTTGTCAAGTTTGACTTACAATTTCATAGCCGACTACTAAATTTTCTCTTATTTTAAGTAACATTACGAAATACGTGTCTTTAGTTATTTAAGTTTTTTGTGAAAATGACAAAAGGTTAATCAACCCTATGAAATGCCTCAATTGAGTTTAATTTGCTAGCAATTAATACCCTTGGTACACTCATAACGTATACCAAATTTGGTTTTTCTAGCTTAATGTATTACGAAGATATTGAACTTTTTAAAAATTTAAGAGCCAACTTTGAAGGCCTATAACTCCTGAGGTGTACAACTTAGTATAGAGGTAAGTTACTTTAAATCATCTTAATTTATTGTCCTCTACATGTCCCTGCTCTGTGTCGGTTCTTATGTGAATCACCCTGTATATTTAGAATTTCTCTGTAACAAACACTCTTAAGATAAGAGTTGATGAGTTCACCACATCAGTAAATATATAGTAAATATTTTACAAGATTCTAACTTAAATGTTTGTGCGAAACGTAACTAATTTATTAAAATGGAATCAATCCTATATTAAAGGGCAAATGCACACGGTAAAAAATATAAATTATGAAATCCACAATATATTTAACCATTGTACAATTAGAAACTCTTATCGCGCCACTTTAACAGTCATTTCAAATTTTTAATTTGTGTAATTATCGTCATACGCAGTCGACGTTTCAAGTAGTTACATAACGCTTTTAAATCCTCTTTCTAAACTGTAGTAGTATAATAAAAGTGCGGTATGTATTTTAAAATAACATTACACATTCTTATCAATCTTTTCTGTTATCGTATCAACAAACTTAAAGAAATTATTATTGCTATTTCCCAACAGTCTTATCGATCGCAGTTGACTATGGCAAACACCAAATTTCGTTTTGCAATCGATAGAGGGGGCACTTTCACGGATGTGTTTGCTCGATGCCCGGACGGTAAAATAGAGGTCTTAAAATTGTTATCAGTGGATCCACAACATTACGCCGACGCGCCAACAGAGGGCATAAGAAGGATATTAGAAGAGGTAAAATAAAATTAAAAAATGACTTATTATAAAATTAAAAACTTTATTAGAAAACCGGAAACGCATTAGATGAAAACGGCAAAGTAAATAGTAAGCTAATAGAATGGATTCGAATGGGAACCACAGTGGCTACCAATGCTCTATTGGAAAGAAAAGGAGAAACGATGGCTTTAGTTACAAACGCTTACTTTAAAGATCTTCTTTTGATTGGAAATCAAGCAAGACCGAGTATATTTGCATTGGAAATAAAACGACCGGAAGTTTTATACAAAGAAGTAGTGGAAATTGATTGCCGCGTAATCCCAACGTTACCGGGAAAATGTCAACTTGGAAATCTAGCTTCAAAATGGCGAGTTATTCGGGGGACCACCGGAGAAGAATTTTACGTTACCAAAGAAATCGACGAAAACGAAGTGAGAGATAAATTAATCGCATTGAAAAATAGAGGAATAAACAGTATCGCTGTAGTTTTGGCACATAGTTACGCAGTGCCCGATCAAGAAAAAAAGATAGGGGAAATATCCCAAGGATTAGGTTTTAAACATGTTTCTTTATCCTATCAAGTAATGCCCATGATTAGAATAGTTCCTAGGGGATTCACCGCTTGTGCTGATGCTTATCTTACTCCGCACGTAAAGAGATATGTTGACGGTTTTCGAAGTGGGTTTAACGACAATTTGGAAAACTGTAGAGTTCTTTTTATGCAAAGCGATGGTGGATTAACTCCAATGGGTAATTTTAATGGAGCAAGGGCTATTTTATCTGGACCTGCCGGTGGCGTAGTTGGGTAAGTTTAAAACTAACTACAAAAATAAAGACCACGTCATGAAATATTTGATAAATTATCTCCGGATATCTATGTCTTTATATTTTATATTGTGTTATCTACGTAGATAACGAGGGATTGAAGAGAATAAAATTCTAATTTGACGCATAAAAATTTCACAGTAATAATTTTAATACATTGTTTGGTAAAACATATAAAATAATACTTAATTATTCATAAAAAATACATAAATATTTAAATATGGTTAAACTTACGCTGTTTTACAGATTTTGGGTCGGGAATTTTGATAATGTAGTAAGAGGGTATCCTTTTCTTTAACGTTTTATTTCACGTACATATTCCTAGATGTATATGTCGGTACATATAAAACATATATGTGATACATATATGCAATATATGTTCACAAAATATTTATATTTACGATTTTGACACAAATTCTATACTGATAATAGGTAAACGAGGAATTCATATTTTATTGAGAATTGATATTGATAAGACAGTTGTAGATAACAACATATAGCGGGTGTCCCCCGGAGCGGCTGTATTTCGTCAACGGTATGGCCTATAGGTAAAGTGGGTAAAAGTAATGGCTGAAAATTATTTTGAAGTTCGTAATTCGACCGCTAAGGATTTATTTTCAATGTTTCGAATATAATGCTACTGCATGATGAAAATGTGCAATGCAATTACCACAAAGAAAGACATTTTTTTCTAAAAGTATTTTTTAAAAGTATCCCGAAAACAATTGTTCACAAGATTCCTCAAGAGAATAATATGCATCTCCACAACATTGTTTTACACCAGCCTTAGTAGATACCGATTATGATAACAGACTGAACTATGGTCATTAACATTTAATTATAATTTGGGCAAATCCAAACCTTTCATTACAAATGCTATGGACGCATGAATCATCTTTCAATAATACAGCTGGTGTAAACTTGCATAATATGCACTATATCGAGCAAAACCCACATTGCTTCCATCTCTTTTAGATTTTTATCTATGATGTATACTAAAAGACCTGACTTTTCAAGAAAAACTAATAACCAGGGAAAATATGACAAAGCATTAAATGCCATTAGAAACGTATCCAGGGCTGAGACTTTTCCGTCGAAACTAGATTAAATGCATTTCGAACATTTCTGAGCTATTTTTTGCAAAAATTTAAGTAATTTTAGTGTTTTGGTTTATTTTGTTTTACTATTTTGTATCATTGTTGATGTTTCATGGGCCTTTAAACAAGCCTCAAAAGTAGTTTTGAATCAGTTCTAAGCTTGGATAATGTGTAAAAGAACTCTCTAGATAATAACATTTTTGTGCTCTCTTATTTGTGCACTAAGGCAACTTGATCCGATTAAGATACAAATTTTTAACATTTTCTTCTATAATTCGAGAACGGATGGAGATATCAAGATGCGGTTTTCACTAATATTTAGCAAATTTTATGGTAACTAAGGGTCTTTGTCAAAGTTATAGCTCATCATCTAACTTTCTGAGATAGCGGGAATTTTATGTTGCTCTATGGGAAGTATTTGAACTAAATTAAATGATTTAAAAGAAAAACTTCTTTTACTTCAACAATACAATGTTCCCATATACATGACCTTAAATCTAACCAACCAACTGTTTTCCTCTTATTTTATTAAAAACAAACACGATACAATTCATCATTTAAATACCATACTCAAACATATAATAACTCAAAACTTTTGCACTTTTAACAACGAGTTTTATAAAGTCAAAGAAGGACTCCCCATGGGAATGTCTTTATCAGGTCTACTAGCTGATATTTTTCTGGACTATATTGAGAATAATAATATTATTAATGATAATAACCCTTTCAAAGAAAATATCCATAGCTGGATTAGGTATGTTGATGATGTGGTTTGTGTCTGGGAAGGAGATAGAACATTACTTTTTGAATTTTTAGAATATTTAAATAACTTACATAAAAACTTGCATTTCACTATAGAAATAGAAAATAATAATAAAACTCTTAACTATCTAGATTTAAACTTAACAAATTCAAATGACGGCAAAATACATTAACCATAAGTTGGCAAATTTCAGATTTTTACTTAACCATATAATAAAATATCCTCTATCCAAGGAAAATAAAATTAAAGAAATGAATTTTATACAAAATTTAGCCAAACAAAACAAATTTCCTTTGAAAATTATTAACAATCTTTATAATAAAATATATATTCAGACCGATCCTTTATATTCGAAACCCGAAAAAGACTTTAATAATATTATCTATCATTCCAAATTCATCTTTTCTAAATACAACATTTCTTTAGCCTTTTCCAATAGGAACAACATACTTAATATGTTTTCTAATTATCATTACAAGATTAATAGTAAAATGAAAGAAAATGGTGTGTATTCAATCAAGTGTTCTGAATGTAAAGGTAATAATATTGGCCAAACTGGCAGAAAACTAGAACAACACGTATCCATTTTTAAACACGGCAAAGAAACAGGTCATGAAGTTGATTATGAAAATGTATCACTTTTACACAAGTGCGATAAAGGTTTTAAACTTGATTTATTAGAAACCTTAGAGATTAATAAACATAAAATTTACAACGATAACATTTTACTTAACGATCAAGTTGAAATTCAATATAAACCTTTATTTGTGTATTTTAAATATTTGAAATGATGAATTTTTTGGTTTCTGTTCGAATGTTATATGTCTAATTTAAGTTTTTTCATTTTGTGACATGTATATTTTTACATCAATATTATGTGTTTTATGTACAGGGTGATTCACATAAGAACCGACCCAGAGCAGGGACATGTAGAGGACAATAAATTAAAATGATTTAACGTAACTTACCTCTATACTAAGTTGTACACCTCAGGAGTTATAGGCTTCATTATCTAATATTAATATTGGTGTTGATTCATCAATTGCTATTTATCGATGTTCGTGAAATAAAGCGGCGTCCTGTGGCATAGTGTTAGGTGGATAGATACAGGGTGATTCACATAAGAACCGACACAGAGCAGGGACATGTAGAGGAAATAAATTAAGATGATTTAACGCAACTTATCTATATACTAAGTTGTAACCCTGAGGAGTTATAGGCCTTCAAAGTTAGATCGTAAATTTTTAAACCATTGAATATCTTCATAATACATTAAGCTAGAAAAACCAAATTTGGTATACGTTATGAGTGTACCAAGGGTATTAATTGGTAGCAAATTGAACTCAATTGAGGCATTTCATAGGGTTGATTAAGGGTGATGGTACCCTAAATTGTGACAAATTTTTTAACCTTTTGGCGGATTTAATACATTACTACTTCATTTCATGTGGAATATAAATCTAAAACTTTTCTTACTCGTATTATTTTTTAAAAAACTTTGTCGTTTTCATAAAAAACTCAAATAACTAAAGACACGTATTTCGTAATGTTACTTAAAATAAGAGAAAATTTAGTAATCGGCTATGAAATTGTACGTCAAACTTGACAAATAGGTTATAAACTTATTTGACGACAAGGTTTTCTCCATCTTCTCTCCATCACCTTTCATTCTTGAGTTATGATCGATTTTAACACCAAAAGTACCCAATTTTGACATTTTGAGGATTTTCTCTTTATCACCTGAAAATCATTACATCTAAACTAAATTTGTTTATGGATGATGTCTTCTTAGTTGACAATAAACAACTTATTCCTAAAAAACTTTTCTCCATCACCTTTCATCCTTGAGTTATGATC